CGATTCAAGCTTCTTGTCCCATCGGTCATTCACCACAGGACCAGATCCGGGATGGACGGCAAGGAAGGGATCAAATTGGCGGCAGAAACCACTTACGCCAATCTTTTACAGAATCGACCATGTCATAGTCAAAAACTTAATTTTGAGACCACACGAAATCGAATCCATAACCGCCAAGAACGCTTTGGTTTCTTCACGGCGGGGGGTTGAGGTTTCGACGAAAAGAAAAGCGAAAAAGAGACAGAGAAGGAGGATTCCAAGGAAAGCTTCGCAAAGATGAACGAAAACAAAGATGGAGAATGGCATTGGGGGTTAGGTGGTTCAGACTAATCCCGAATAACCAAGAAACTGATGAAGGAAAGCGGAAGCAGGAAGACAAAGTCCGGCGCGGACAAAGGAAACGAAGAGGACAATCTCACCAATGCCGGAGCTAGAACCCGATGCTCACCTTTAAACTCTCCATTCAAATGATGACTTTGCTTTGGATCAAGCCATCGCTAACGAGATCGCGCAGCTGGTCTTCGCTTGTTGTTGGAGCCGGCCAAACCTTCTGAGCAGCCCTCATAGCCACGAACTCCTGGTTTTCGATCAAAGAAAGGGATGACTCCTCGTCTACAAAGGTCGCCTAAGACTTGCTTGCGGTTTTCTTCTTGCCCATGAACTGGCGGAAGCAAAAAAGGCACTAAGGAAGATGAAGCTAGGATGATGGTGCTCGGGTGACGGCGACGTTGACGGCGGCGGATTTCTGAAAGCTAGGGTTTAAAGGCAAGAGCTGGGCAGCAAGGGTCTTTAAATAGATTTCTCAGTGATACAAACGGCCCACAAGGCCCGATAAAACACAGTGTGGGAACGCGATGGTCCATTTACCGACGCAGCTAAAACGACGGAGGGCACAAATCCACACAACAGTACAAACCAACGGGCAGATTTCAGACTTATCCGTCCAGCACCACGGCAGGGTTATCAGATCGCTACAAGAACAACTCGTCAAAACAAGAAGAAAGAAGAAAGAAAGGGCTACCTCACAAGGAACAAAAGAACCCGGTTATTTAAGAAAGAACTCGGTAATCTCATGAACAACAGGGATCACAACAGAAAAGTAAAAGACAACTCAGAAGACAAGATTCGTTACATTACAAGCGACTTCAAAAATAAAAGATTACAAATCTTAAAGACAAGATTCGTTACATTACAAGCGACTTCAAAAATAGAAGATTATAAATCTTACAAGACCCAACGAACTCGGCACCACGAAAAGCAAGGTAGCAAAGAGGAACGCGGACACGGCTAGGCTTTGGAACGACTACGTGTCCCAAATTGCTACTCGAAAGGATAAACCGCCATCAGCTACACTGTTTTCTTCAAAGGACGGACGCAGTGCACTCAAGGCGGAAATCGGCAGCACGGCAAGACAACATGGAGCAGAGAAGGCCGGCGGGCATCTGTCTACCCAAGACCGATGTGATGCTGCATATGGTGTTGATCTGCACCGGACAGTCTCAAGACAGGCGACGAGGATCAACCCAGAACTGCCAGATGAAGAAACGAAGCCCACATCACAAGACTTCCTCCAACTACCACCACGTACATCCTGGCACAATGCTGTCGCGGGATTAGCCTACCTCTAATCCCTATCACAAGACTTCCTCCAGCTACGACAAGACACACAGGAACTACAAAATATGCCCGGGGGCTGCTCTACTTCACAAACTACCATGTTCATGACCACGAAGGTTTCAACGGAATATCCAATAGATGAAAACAAGCACTCTAGGACAGTATTTATAGACCAAAGGAGCGGCGCACATGGACTAAGAGTACCAACGAAATAAGCCTAACAAAGGACACAGTGAAAGGACATGACTCAATAATGAATGACTCAGGAGAGAGAAAACAGTACTCAAAGACGGGCATATTCGGAAGAATATACCAGCACAGTACAACCCGTGAACAAAAGGCATTTACACTCAACCACCACCATACAACTACATCTAACAGCAGCAGACTATCAAAGAATACGCCAAGACCTCGCATCCGAGTTCTTCCTGAACAAAACAACACGGATATACGCTCGGGGGCTCAGAACCAAAGACAAAAGACAAAGAGTACAAGAAACTCAAGACTACAACGACGACGACGCATCAAGACTCTTCATCCGACTTCTTTTCTAAAGAGAAGAACACGGAGAAAGCACGAGGCTGCGGGATACATAGCCCCAGAATTTTTTGAAGACAAGAATCTGGACCCTCCAACTTTTGCAAGCAAAAGCAAGAGGCTCGGGGGCTACACTCAGTGAGTGCAATTTTTATAAAAAATTGCACCCACCCAAAAAGAACCCGGACATAGGCTCGGAGGATGCATGCCGCGAAACTACTCGGATGATGGTTTAATCTAAGACTAAAGGGCCGCTTCGGAAAGATGCCACAAAAACTACTCGGATGATGACATAATTCAAGTCTTGGGGACTACTTCAGAACACAAATTTTCAAACAACATAAAGGATCAAGACCCTCCAACTTTTTGTTCCAAATAGCAAGAGGCTCGGGGGCTACACTCAGTGAGTGCACTTTTTCTTTGAAAAGCGCACATCACCAAAAAAAGACTTCCTCAACGCAGACCACTTCAAGACATTGCGACAAAAAGAACCCTTAACGAGCCATATTCGAGTTCTTTTGACAAAACTTCAACGAACAATCGAGCAACTTCAAGAAAAGATCCTCCAGCTCCTTGTTCCAAATAGCAAGAGGCTTGGGGGCTACAACCAGATGGATGTACTTTTTCTTCACAAAACACTCACCACTCGAAGGTCCCAAGAAGCGCTACAAGGTTTCACTACAGAAAGCACTCGGATAACATTTTGTTCCTACCTAACAAGACCTGAAGGAGCAAAGCGAGACTTTCAGAGCTCAACCATGAAGTGCTCGGGGGCTTGTCGATGTGGGACCCACAGGATACCCCACAAGAGAGATAAAAGATCTAGTTCAGCTAGGATTCTTCCCATGTAATCTTAATAGTAGAACTATTAAGTAATCCTACTAGGAAATCTCATTGTAAACCGACTAGGACTCTGGCCTCCTGACAATATAAAGGAGGGCAGGGCTCCTGAAAGAGAGGACAATTGTACAACATAACACTTCATAATCAATCCAATGCAAAAGGCCAACGCCGACTGGACGTAGGGTCGTTACTCGATCTACGATCGAGGGCCTGAACCAGGATAAATCGACTGTCTCTTGCGTTTACCATCGAGTTCAGCATACGCCGAAGCCCGAACAATACTGCCCTGGTACCCCCATGGCAGGCTATCGGTGGTGAAACATCGACAATGAGTAATTTACCAGTGATGATATCTGTAGTTGTTCCTAGTTGCTCTGCGTTCACATAATTCAGCTTGGCTGTACCCCCACCGGGTCCACCACGTCCTGCTCCTCTCCCTGCTGTGTTTTCCTATCTACCACCTCCTCTTCCAACTGGTTGGTTAGTCACTTGAGTGCGCTGTGAAGGCTGCACTGTTGTCTTTGTTGGATGGGGACAGTTAACTTTGTGATGGCCTTCCTTGCCACAGTTGAAGCATACACCTGATCCCTTTAAACAGTCCTTGGTAAGATGTTTCCCTCTGCACTTCCCACATATGGGTGCTGAAACCTGGTAGTTTGTTGGGGTTGGTTTAGATGGTGGTACTTGGCGACGTGCTCGTGTCTGTTGCATCATGGGTCTTTGATCAAACCTTGCTTTTTCCTTCTTTCTTCACCCAACTGAGAATGCTCATCTTCAAGTACTATGGCCCTGTTGATCAGGTCCTAAAATTTGGTGATCATGTGAGGTCTCAGGTGCATCCGGAGGAATGTGTGCAACCCTTCCATGAATTTCTCAACCTTTTTCTCCTCAGTGTTGACATCATCAGGGGCATACAAGATAACTCAGTGAATTGATGCACATACTCTCCCAACCTTTTATTCCCTTGGCTCAAATTTCAAAATTCTCTCTTCTTAATAGCCACTTTTCCATCTAGAACAAATGCTAGGGTGAAAGCCTGTTTGAACACTGCCCATGTGATAGGTTCATTTTGCAGTATGATTGTGCTTAAAGTTTGACCACCAAGCCCCAACAAGACCCGTCAATTGGTGGGCTGCATACCTCACCTTCTCCTCATCTGAGCAACCAATTGTCTCAAGCTTCTTCTCAACTTCCAGCAGCCAGTCATGGGCCTCAAGTGGGTCTATGGCCTTGGAAAATGATGGTGGTTGAGTCTGAAGGAATTGCCTCAAGCTAACTCTGGCTACTGGCGGTGCTAATCCACCTGGAGCAAGTCTGTTTATCATGGCCTCCATGAAGAGATTTTGATTCTCTTGTGACTCTCTTTGGGAGTTTTCCATGAATAGCAGAATATCCCCAATATTCCTAGCCTCGCCATTGGTGTTGGAAGTTCTGGCTTCAATATTGTGGGGATAGACTCCCCCAGGTAGGAAGCTATGATTTCTAGAAGAATTGCCTCCATTCCCATTGGACCCGAGGCGAAAGACAAGGTCATCTTCACCTAATTCGCGTCTATCCATCCTGCAAGATGAGTGTTGTTGAGTGATCTCACCTTTTTGCACATGTATTGAATATATTTAGTATTGTTGCATACGGACAAAAAGTAGTATGCTAGCTATACGTGTTGGACATTCTCATGTATATAAAGTGTTAATCACTGGCATCCGACACATACACATGAAAATGCATAGCACACAGAATATTTAACCACACAGTCTTAGATAGTCATAAGGGTGCATTACATTTGACCTAGGTGCTACCATTCCTTACATATGGTCTTGATCTAGTTAACTATTACAAGCCACTGAGCAAGATCCATAAGAGAACTTGATTTCTACATAAGGGTGCACTACTGAGCGTCACTTATATTACAGATCACAACACTACATCAGTCCCTATTGCGGTCCTACTAGAAGTAACTTCAAAATAACTCCATCTATTATCAGGATGACGATGTCATACACCTAGAAGTCAGAAGGGCCCGCGCTTGATCCTACAACATCGTTGCTGCTACCTGCATCATTCCCTCCCTGCAACCCCAGCACTTGATTCAGAAAGGTCCTGGTAGATGCTGCTTCAATGTAGACCTCCCTACAAACGCTCATGCGGGCCTGACATGATCTAACATGCCGCTGTTGTACAGGTTCAGGAGGCGGGAGAATGTGTGGTGCTGGCTGCACAGGTGGTCCATCAACAAGCTCAAGGGGCAAGGGCGCTAACTCCGGTGTCCCAACATGTGGTTCAGGCTGTTCAAATTTTGGTGGCACTGCTGGAGCATTTGGGACTAGTTGATGTGGTGAAGCAGGTGGTGCTGGTATGTCTGGGTTCTCTACTTCCTCTGCTGCCTCAGGTTCCTCTTGCTCCATTTCAGGTTCTTCCTCATCTTCCTCTTCTACTACTAGAGGGTTAAGGGCACCTCTAGGTTGTTGAAGATGATCAACATATTCCTGTAGTACAGCACGATGTTGGTCACTTGCTAGGAACATATAGTACCAGTAGTAGGCTTCGGACCACATCTTAGTGAAATCTGTGGTAAATGATCGAAATGCCAACCCATCAGATATCATTTTCATACTAGAGGCTAAGTTGATGGCATCTGATGAACATTCTAGCACCCGTGAGAACGAGAATCCTGATAAACCTTGAGCCCCTAGCTGAACTGGTGCACTGCAACTTCCAGGATCAAATCCTAGAAAGTCACGGTAGCAAGTAGTGCTCAGGTAGGCTGCAAAGTGCGCCCGGAGCACCTGCATAGCATCAGTGGCCACATCCTGTATGGCATCCTCAGGGTAAGGCCGAGATCTGATGAGTTCTCTATGGAATGTTGGGTCCATAGGAAATCCAGTTAGAATCAGCACTATGTGCCTCTCGCCATGGTCCAGTGTTTCCTCCAAAAATTCTGGGCATGATCCTCCAAAGGTCTGAACCATGTGCATGAGAAGCATCACTGAATGTCCACATACCCTCTCTAGTGGAACACTAGAACGTGCCATCCTGTACCAAGGTTATGCTATTAGCATGGCAGTTAGCTATGTTTTTAGCAAGGTAGTCGCCTAGATGAAAAATAAAATATAGAGAACAGTACAGTATAATCAAGGCAAACAACAATGGACATACTATACAGAGATAGAATCTGCTCTAGTAGAAGGACCAGATTTTTTTTCAACTTAGGTCACCTATAGTCTCTAGCTATTCGCATGGCCCTCGCAACTACGGCTCTGATACCAGCTGTAACGACCCAGGTCATTACCACTATAAATAATAACCCTAGCCTATGATTTATCACCCAACAGATACAAGATTTGTTGAATAATAAACCATAACAAAGTTGGCAACGAAGAATAGCTAGAGGGTGCTAATAATTATTACAATACCATTCTACGCACTTAAGTCTTTAAAGAAGCGCTATAAGTTTGTGCATTATTAAAAGCCCGACATATAGAGGTCCAAACTAGATTACTAAGTGAACGACAAAGACATATTGCCACTGACATACATAACTAAACTAAGATGATCATTTATTCATCCCATCTACCATAGGAGGTGGCAGCAACCCGACAAGCTTCTTCATAGTCATCCCAATCTGCATAGGCATAGCCATCATCTAGAGACCCTTGTGCACATTCTTAAGGATCTTCTGAAGAGGGAGAGTTAACAAGAGTGAGTACAACGTACTTAGCAAGCATATAAATATCAATGCAATGCAATCTAGTCATCTCAAAATGATCAATAATATATCATCTTGCTGTTCAAAATAACATTTGTAGAAAAAGTCAGTTTAGTTTAAAAACACTACTATCACTTGTATCTTGAGAAAGAGCCACCCATAGGTTCCCGTAGCCTCTAATCCAAGAGACGTGACATGAATTCATGATTTTACCCTGCGCAGGTTTGTATCACTTTAGCCATAATTACCTTGACCAATTTTCCATCGCACTTCCTTTGGGGCGACTCATGGTCAAGATACCGAACTTTCCCCATTTAATATAATTATACATCCAAATCTATCCACGTGCGCTAATATATGCGCCTGGGTGTGCTTCATCGACACCTGATTGGGGATTTCATCACCCAACCCTCTCCTCATTTACCATAGGGATTATACAACAACTCCATGGATACTAGAATCGGCCCGTCCGAAACGAGTTCATGGTTGACACGAATTTATATGGCCCAATAACACAAGTGAGAGTTTGTTATTAGTCCTACCAAACTTTTCCATCCAAATATACAGTAGGGAATTAGCTGCTCCATCAGCTAACCCCATGTCATCAAATTCAAATGTCATTCATCCATAGTTAATTTCAAAAAATAATATTTAATGCAGGTTACTTTTATTTTCTTAAACTTTGTATAAAAACTCAAGGAGAAAATGATCAAGGATTCTTGCCTGAGTTCTTAGGATTCAACTCGGGCTCAGTTTGGTTTGTTGAAAGATCCTGCGCCTGACTTTGCTCGCTTCCTGTAATTAGTATAAATATATATTGGTATTTAGCAAGATGAAAAAAGAGTATATATATACTTACCACATATGTAGCCATGTGTTCATCCGACAGTCAAGGAAATAGCTTCTGGGTCCTTAGTATCAATTAAGCTGTGATTTATAAAGAAATATTGTATAGTTGTGCTTAGTAAATCATTGAATTAGTTTAGTATATTGTTAAACCCCTTTTTACTCTCACGTGAGCTGCACCTGCACCTAATTGAAGCCATCCACTGCTCAGTACTACTACTACTTTGCAGCCCCAAAAGCACATCAACAGACACACGCACATCTCTCCATCCATTATCCTCTCGTCTCCCTCTCTTTCCTCCCTATCTTTCCCCTCCTGCTACTCATGGTGCCCAGGCTACCTTTCCCGAATCGGCAACCATGGTTTGATTTCCTCCTCGATTTCTCTCTCAAAACCAAATCCAAGGACATTAGCAGCTATCTAACCATTTTTTCCCTTCGATTTCTTCCTCTATGATGTGTGCAGGTTGGGCAGCGGTGGCGGCGTGCTCCACTAAGGTGTCGAGCTGAGCAGCCATGCCGCCTAGGCAAGCCAAGAAGGCCCGAGCATGCTGATGTGGGGGGATTTGGGCTCCAGCAACAATCCTCCTCAACCTGACAGTGAGTTCCTCCCCCTCACCTCTTCCTATTCTCTCTTTTTGTTTTATCTAGCCTGCAACTCTGTAACTCAAAGATACATGCCCGAGTGCTCTAGATGTATAGGTTCTTGTGTTAGTGTTCTTAGTAGAGAGGAAAAAAAGAAATATTCTAAGACATGCCTGTGAACCTCACCTTAATCTTGATGATGTTTAGCTCCAATCTTAGGCTTATTTCCCTCAGACACTCACTCCTTCTCTTGCAGGTCTTGGTTGCTTCAAAAGTGCTTCAAGAGTTGCTTGCAAGCACTTGGGATCTCTGGTGACTTCCTCTCCTGGTCAGCCCCCCCTTCTCACCCCATGTTGCTCTCCATGGTGATCAAGTCACCATCTTGTGCTGGTGGAAGAGTTGGTGTTTTTCTCAAGCAAGGAGTGCACGAGGTGTTTATATGGAGTCCTTAACCTTGAGTGGGGAGCTAGCCTAGAACTGAGTGACTGCTACTTCGATGGTGGCAAGGCCCTTTCACCTATACTAAGCCTCTCCTCTACTACTACTACTCTAGCTTTCCTAAAATATTTTAATCTCAGTCATGGCCTAGTCAAAGAAATTCACTGTGTTGGTGAGCTGCTGCTAGTTGATTGGTTGGTTCCTTTCTAGAAGGGCATGGCTACACCTCATGTGTACCAACTGTGAATTGTAGGCATAGTGATAAATGTACTATAGTGTACTTAAATATGCAAAAGAATGCTGGCTTGAATTCTTTTGTTGAGTGAACTTGGTCTACAAGTATACCTAAACACCATCAGGAATTAATAATTGATTTATGCATTTTAATATCAAAGCGTACTAAATTGCCCATCTTGTTGTAATTGATTTCCATTTACTGTGCACTTATCTATGATTAATTGTGAGCTAAAATGGTGGGTCGTTACACCGATTACCCCATTGTGTGGTTATTCCGGGGACTTTGCTAGCGCGCCAATAATGCAATGGTGTTGGTGGACTTTGTGGTCATTGTTGCGCACATTACACTCGGTTTTTAGAGCCTATTTGATATAATAGCTAATCGCTAGCTAACTAAAAATTAGTCTAATATATTAAATGGGAGGGCTGATAGGTGGACTAATTTTTTAGTCAAGTCTCGAGCTAGTTGTTAGCGTATTAGCTAGTCAATTTCAGCTAATTTAAGCTAAGTTTTAGCCTAATAACAACCTCAAGTTTATCCAAACAGGCCATAGTATTGTTGTCCAATAAAGCAAAAAATAATAGTTTTGGCGGATCCTAGTGATGCTGATCTGTCTGCCATCCTAGTGAGCAAGTATTAACTTTAGCCTAGGAACAATTATTCACATGGAGATTAATTCCTCACACAGAGACGGGAATGAGGACAAAATCTCCGTCATAAGGGCTTGTTTGAATGCCTATGTATTCAAGTTAATCAATGTGTGCTGGAGTGGGTTAGTGTGAATTGAAGTAGATACATGAGCATATAAACAAGGCTTAAGTTTTGACAGGGTTGGGGATATAGAATTTTTCCTCCTCTTGGAAATAAAGATCGGTCATGCTATTCGCAGGGCGTCCGTCCGTCTGGATGGACCGACCCGCCCGCGCCGCTCACCTGTGCTGCACGCCGCACGCCCCCACCCGCAACGCGCGCCCTCGGCACACTCCGCCTCGCTGCTGGCGCCTTCCCCGCTCGCAACTGTGCCTTCCCCAATCATGTCCGCGACCATGTGCGTAGCGACCACCGCAGCCTGCTTGGGCCTCCGACCAGTCTTCCTTCCACCAGATCCACTGCATGGCAAGAGATCCGGTGGTAGTAGGGGCTGTGGCGCCGGCAGCGGGAGCTGCGTGTCCTGTGTGGATGTCCACGAAGGGCTCCCCGCCGGCCTCGCGGTAGGTAGAATTGATTTGGTCGACGGTGGCGACGTCGCGGCTGCCTCCGGTGAACTCTACACATTGACGAGCCTCCATTGTCCTAAGCAACAAGTAGATGTTGCGCTGAAAGCACATGTTTCAAGCATATGTTTTAATTGTTTCAATGGTATGTTGCAAGTGTTTTATATGGATGTTGCAAAAGTAGATCGGGATGTTGCTTATATTGCAATGTCTATACACGTATCTTACAAACGTCTGTTCCAAATGTTTCATCAGACATATGTTGCAAGTGTGTTTATCTAGATGTTGCATATATGTTTCACATATATGTTACAAATATTTCACCTAGATGTTGCATATATTTTGCAATGGCTTTTTTAAGTATTTTTAGGTGTCTTTGTAATTGTTTCAGACATGCAAATGTGTTTCTGGATGTTTGAAAAAGTAGATGGAGATATTGCAGGTTGACCCACCTGTCACAGTTACCTACTGCAACTGCCTGAGAAGCGGAAGGGGCTCGAACGGTGCTGGTGCTGGTGCTGGTACTGGCGTGGAGTGTAGACACGCGTAGAAAATGGTGTGTAGACGCGTATGTCCGAGAGCTAGCACTACCCAATAAAGATACGAGGCATTCCCCGACGGAAAGTTCCTGTTTCCATCTCTAATAATCGAGCCGTTGGGCTGCCTGCCATCCGGTGAGCCGGTATTAGCTTTAGCGCCTCCTGCTTTTGTTTTTTTAGCAAATTTAGCGCCTACTGCTGGGGGCCTGCGAGCTACAGGGTCTACGACCCAGTTTTTTTTTTTGAGAGGGTCTACGACCCAGCTTTGCCTTGGAGGGGCCTCGCGGCCTCAGGTAAAACCTTGGGCTTAGTAGGCCCAACAAAACCTGTTACGAGCAGGCGAGCTGCTAGAGCCTACTTTGAGAACTCGGCCTGCTGAAGACATAAGTCTTGGCCCAATACAAGACTAGCTGCCCCTTACCAACATTTTGTAATAAAATAAAAAATGGGGGCAAAAAGACCAACG